GGGTGTTCTATTAGACATACTGTATATAGGGCAGGGGGGTTGTATTTGACATACTGTATATTTGCTTGTGGGGGGGGGAGTGTTGTTTGTATTAGTAATACTGTATATTTGTGGGGGGGGGGGGGGGGGTTATATTTGACATACGATATATTTGCGAGGGCTGTTTGTATTAGACATACTGCATATTGGAGGAGGTTGTATTAGATACACTATATATTGGGGGGGGGAAGTTGTGTTACATTCATGTTGATGTATCTATGTGTGATAATAAATGCGGAAAGGTTTATAGATGTGTAACGTAGATTTGGGTGCACGTATTAGTATGTCCTTAGATATGTTTGTAAGTTTTTGACGTAAATGGGACTATGCGCGTAAGTGTGTGAAAAAAAATCGAATAGATTTAACGCGTTTGTAAAGAAAATCCATTTATTGAAAGAAAAAACAACCCCGCATTTCCTCAAGAATGTACCGTTTAAATTTAATTGACAGGTCTAAGCTCGCTGAGGGCGAATGGTTTGATCTAATATTCCCTCTCGTGTGTGGGTCTTTTCTCCAACACTGCGGCACTAGCGCCCTCTAGCTGGATCCACCACCGCCCCACATCTGATCCCAAAACTAGGATGCTTCACACAAAAAAACAAAAACAAAAAAAAAAACTACTAGTTTAAAATGGCCTCGATCGGCTTAGATAGCAGAGGCAAAGTTGTGGTTACTCCTCTGAACTGTTACTTTTTTGACAGGTGGCTTTATACGATAACTCTCGTAAAATTAATATTACTTCTCTTGATCTTATGTTTACAATACACTCAAATGGTCAAGTTCAATAACTCAAGACTAATGTTTCTAAAGTATTGAAACAGGAGACACGTTCTATAACTCTAACAACACTACAACAACAGAAAGGGCGATAACTCAAGTCTAAAGCTTCCTCAAACATTTAATCAGAAGACACGTTCAATAGCTAAGTCTTTTTTTCTACAGCATACGAGCAGACAAGATCGATAATCCAAGTCTAATTTTCTGAAACATAGCAAGTTCAAGGAGTTGCATGGATACATTTATGTAAGAAGGCGATGCATTAGTATTCATGACGGTCCCGAGAGGTTTACAAAAACAAACTGATGTGGTTAGCGAGGCAGATGTTGAACATTGGTCGCACAGCGTAACACGGGAGCCGCTGATATTGTGTAGTACCTATTCCCCAACACAAGGGAGAGATAGTGCCTTTATGTTATACTATTTATAGCGATCGATTCTAGATCATACAAGTGTACAGGAACACTACCGGTGTGAAGGACGGATAGGACGAGATATGACGAGGGTGGGGCTTACACACGAGGACAATACATGGGGGGGGGGGTCAAATAATTGGATGAGGTTTGGTGAGGTAGTCACGTGGGGGGGGGGGTCATACGAAGACAATGCATGGGGTACAGGGGGGGTCCGTAGGGGTCGTCCAATAATAACCTTACACCCCTAAGGCAGAAGGGAGGAGCTGTTCGTTCCTAAGATGTGTGATGACGAAAAGGGGGGGGGGGGGAGAGGTCAGAAATTGTGGTGTCACACTTTTGAATTTTACAAAACCTGAATTTTAAAAACAGCTATTTCGCTTTTTTTTTTTAAATCACTCTTTTGGATATTATAGTAGAAGCTATCAATTATTCAATATGCTTACATCAAATTTTAAAAAATAATTCGTTTGAAAAAAAAAAATTGGAGGAAGAGGGTAGACTGAAATGTGACGTTCTAGTGGAGAGGGAGTCAAAACATTTTTGATGTTACCAGTGTAATGGGGAGATAATCATCCAAAAAAAGCATGACCTCATACATGGATGACCTCATCAACAGTTGCTGTTCAATACAAGCTCGGTACGACCCAAGGTGTCTAAGCAGGGTCATTGATTTTATGGATGCAGTGGGTCTATTGATTGGGTGCATGTAAGTTATTCAGGCCTTCACTCAATCATTGGGAGGCTTTGTGGTAAAATCTGAGCAGGGGTGGACTAAAGGAAGAGACGCTTTTACGGGCTGACAAGAAGGATTTGTCAAAATGGTTTAAAATTATTTCTTTTTTAACTTTAGATTATAATGCCTTTTGGTAGACAGACAGACACACAAGCATTCAGATAGAAAGACGGAGAGACCAACAGATTGAAATATAATAAATGCTGACATGAAAGCATTCCACAAACACAGAACAGTTTTATGGATGCCCATAAACCTTCCTATCTCTATCATGCAACAAATGTAACATACAATATACGCTAACTGTGCCATATAAACCTATATTAGTCACATTAAATAAAAAATCAAAACTATCAACTACATGAAGATAATATATTACACTTTCTTCTTCTTCATTCTTAATTCCAGTGTTGGAAGAGATTTCCTCCAACACAATTAAGAATTGCGCGTCTACTTGTTATGCGCCATATAGGCCACTGACTCCGATTTCAGCCAGCTTTTCTGTTTGGATTTGCTTTTATATCCTTTGTCCAACAAAAAAAAATTAACTACAAGGCAGCAGTTGTTTGATTTTATAGTTGTCTCTCCTTCATGAGTTGCTGTCACAGCAACTATGAGCTTTAAACTGACCCAACCATGCTAACCTCCTATATCACACAATGCAGGCTTGTTTTGTATCACTGCAGTAAAAGTTTGCTTAAGCTACTTGTCCATAGTAACTAAACCAGAGCTGGGAAATCTGTAGCCCACAGTCCCATGTGTACTTGTCACTGTGAGATCATGTAAACCTGCTAAAATCTGGCCATATCAAATACTGTGTGCTAAATTACAACAGATTTAGAGGTACTCATCTTGATGTACTTTAAATGATACTTAAACACTCATGGATGTATAATAGTTCTATTAGTGAGAAATCTGATAACTGTCATTACTTATCATACAAAATGCATCAACATGATAAACCAAGCATTTATTATATTTTGTTTTGATAGAGCTCGGTTAAGAATCAAGATAACTATCATAGAGAAATGATTAATACTTGAAGTGCAGGCTTATTTATTTATATTACAAAATAACTATTCTCTTTTTGAATATTTACAACAAAAATAGTCATAAAAAATTGAAATCAAAGCATTCGGGTTTACTACAAAGTGACGCAGACTAAAGGGAGATTACTTTTCTTGCACTGGTCATGTAGTAATATCCCATATATAAATTTGCATAACATGATCAAGATGATATTAAACAATTGGAATCATGTTAATGGCAAATCAACAATGAACCTTCTCTATAGACCTTTAGTTGGCTACTACTTGAGTCTGATCCAGTACATGAGTGCATGACTTTATAACCAAACTTAAATTATTAAGATTTTTTCAGTGGCCATGAGTGTGTCTCTCATAGAAACATCATTGAGCAAGTGAAAAAAAAATAGCATCACAAAATGGGAGTGGACAGCTCCAGGTGACACTATCCCAGGTGATGACAACACCAGGTGACACTATCCCAGGTGATGACAACACCAGGTGACACTATCCCAGGTGGTGACAACAACAGGTGACACTATCCCAGGTGATGACACCGACATTTTTAAAAGTCCAACTAGAAAAATTTTCTTTGCCAGTAAATTGGACAAGATAATGACCTTTTTACAGCAAAAAGCATTTAAAGACATCATCAATGCTAGAGAAACCAAACTGCCTTTAACTTTACTATAATGTATAGGCCTATATAGGTTATAAAGTTATTTACCACATCTGGTTTCATTCTGCCTAATGACACTACCAGAAGTCCACTCCCCCCCACCCCCCCCCCCCTCCACCACCACCAACACACATGTAGCCTTTCTGACTCTAACCACCCTTCCCCCCTCCCTTCTCATCTAGCAATAGAAAAACATTAAATTTAAATAATTTTTATAATCCCCCCCTCCTCCCCACTGGTTAAAAGTCAAACACACAAAAACTACTTAATGTCATGTTGAAAAGTGTAATTTTCCAGCTAGAACTAGATCTAGAGCTAGATCTATATTAATTTTGATAGACCACTGGCAAATCATCAAACAATAGGACTACACGTTAGTGGTAGTCCAATTAATAATAATAATGGACAAATGGATAGCATACATAGTCATACATAGCCATACAATAACAAGAAAAGCAAGTTGAACTAAAAATCTACATCTGTTTTTTTAGCACAAGAACAGAATCTACTAGATCTAGATCTAGATTAATCTGATATTCTAATTACTTCATTACGACAGGTGACAAAATTGCCACCGGTAACCGGTTATGGCTTAAAAAATAAAAGGAAATTCACATTTACAAATTACATTGACTGACATTGTGCTAAGTTAGTAAGTTGACAGTGAAATACTCAATAGTTCACAGTTGACAGGTAGATCTAGATCTAGATCTACAGACCGATGAATAATAATAATCATGAGTGGTTACAAAATTAGTAGTTTAGCCTATCTACTATCTATTCTATACCCCAATTGTTAACTATTTTTTCATATTGAAAGTAAAGTCGACATTCACGCATGACAAGCCACCTGCTATGCAGCTGGCACCTCCCCCTTTTCTGTTTGTTTTTTAGTCAGGCTGATAAACACATCACTCGAGTTTCATAAACAACGTAGATTTAATTTATACTACTTTTCAACAGATATTTAGTTAATTTAGAACTAAATATATATTCAAAACATCGAAAAGAAAGCTTGGATGTATTTAATACTTACATAAGAACAAGTGAACTGTGTACACCAAAGTTGACAGTCACAGAGCACAGGTATGGCTAATGTAAATATTTAAATTAATGAAGTGGAAGAAATTAAAGTTTCGTTTCGTTGTCGAAGACCAATTTGATTCGTTTCAACAGCTATTTACCTAGTTAATATTTTGCATTTAAAACCAATACACAATAATGTCATGTGACATATCACATGACTAAATGCGAAGTTTATTTACATTTGCAAAGGGAGAATTTTGGCGATTGATTTGATGAAGCTTTCCATACTATAGATCTAGATCTAGGCTTACTTATTACTTATAATACTAATTAACAATTTGAACAGAATAGATTCTATTAGAATCAGGATATTTAAATATTTCTATAAACGAGGAGCTGCTGGTAATTTTAAATTTAAAGTAATTTTTAAAAACAACAGTTAGGCCTACACAATTAATATAAATTTATTAATAGGCAATAGGCCTAGGCCCTACAAATTTATTAATTTAATTTACCAAATTTTGAGGGGTTTTTTTTGTCGGTAATCTATCGTTTTGGGTACGTAAAATTGCCCGCGACTAGTAATGTGAAAAACAGGTGACTCCTTACATTTTAATAATTATTTCACATTTTGAGGAGGATTTATGTTTTGAAAAATACAAAAATTAAAATGTTTCCTTGTTTCATTTATGTACCTGTTTTTAAACAATTGAATTAAAACTTTTCAGTAATAAATGAACACCAGCGATGTTTCCAACAGATGCAACCATGCTCATTTACTATAGCAGCCATCTTGTTAAAGTTTTATTTTTATAGACTTATAGCGCGAGATTCAGGCGGAAGTCACTCAATTTTACAAATGGCTGCTGTTTATATAGCAAATCTTGCTTGCAGACACTGCTGTTTAAAGTTAATATCTGGCCTATATTGATATATTTAGCCATTGATTTAGGTTTATTATTCATTTATCTATAATATTTGACACAAACATATCACAATATACTTCTATTACAGCCTTGACAATGAGGTAACGTTTTCGTACATTAATAGCCGCGGACGATTTTACGTACCCAAAACGATAGATTACCTTTTTGTCTTATGTACTCGTACTGTTACATGTAGATCTACTATGGGTAAAACCTTAGTTTAGCGTCGGAAATTATCGGGTAATGTTTGTTGAGTTTCGGTAACTAGAGTTACGGTAAACCATGGTTTATTTGACCATTGAAATATAAATAAATTGAAAGTCGATTGTAGTAAATTAATGTTTTAATCGACAAAAGGAAACAAGAATAAATATAATAGTAGATTTAAATTAGTAGATCTGAAAATTAAAAAAAAACAACATAATCATATATTAATATAAATAATGAAGTCAAATGTAATAATTTAATGTTTTTGGCTTGCAGCGGATTTGCGACGATTAATTAATTAGATCTAGCTAGATATCTAGCTGCTAGGCCAAGTTTAAAAGATCTAGATTACGAAAATAGTAAAAATGATTACAAAATGTAAAAATGATTACAAAAATAAATCTATCCAAATTTTAAACATTCTGTATAAAAATAAAAGATGACGCCAAATGAGGTATGGTTTACAGTACTTCCGGTGAATTCCGGAAGTGTGTGACAGACTTTGGCATTGCTTTACTGTTTTTTACTGCTATACGATTCCGGAATAACAACCAACGCTAAACTAAGGTTTAACCCTACTATGGATCTAGAGTCTACTTTTGTATTTAAAATTTAAGTTTTTTTTTTCTTTTTTTTACTTAATTCTCACAACACTTGTAATTCAAGGACTAGGCCTATTAAATATATTCTATTAAGTTATTAACTTAGGCCCTAGATCTATATAATATATATATAATACTATATATTAATAATATAGGCCTATTGAATATTATTATTAGGCCTACACATATTATTATTAACTTAATGCAGCCTGATGATAATCAGAATACCTGACAACATTAATTTGAACAGTTAACATTTGATTTTTTTAATCAAGGAAAATTTTTATAAGGTATTATTAAAAGCTATGGTAATCTATTGTTTTAGGTGCGTAAAATCTGCCGAGGCTAGTAATGTGTGAAAGAGTTGCCTCATTGTTAAGGCTTTAATAGAAGTATATTTACTAAATTATGATATAATTGAGTCAAATATTATAGATCTTATTATAGAAATTTACTTTTAACAACAATGTTTGTGAGCAAGATTTGCAATATCAACAGCGACCATCTGTAAGTTAGAGTGGTTTCCCCTGAATCCCTAACTATAACTTTACCACACAAAAAACAGGTAGCCTACATTAATGAAACTTTGAAACATTTTTGTAACTTTCAAAACATAAATCCTCCTAAAATATGAAATAATTAACACATTTTAATGAGTCAATTTTTTTTCACACTACTAGTCCTGGCCGATTTTACCTAAACTGATAGATTACCAAAGCTATTTATATATCTAACTTGATTTCAATTGTATATTTCCAGTCAGGCTGATAGCAGTCAATACAGGATTGTCTTTGTTATTTGGAAAAAAATTAGATTACAGAAAAGCCTTGAAAATGATGGGAGTAAGCATTTTTATACTTTTTATTTATTTCACATTATCTGTCTGTTTGTGGTTAATCTTGTAACTTACTTTTGACCCATATGTAATGCAGCAATTTAATTCAAACTTACCACAAATATTTGTCTTCAATGACAAAACTAACTTTAAATCTTTTTAGATGGTAGTCGATTCATTTGAACTTAATAAATAGATTAGTATATTGAATAGAGCAAAGGGTAGATAACAGAATGAAGCAATAACAAATGCTCGATTAGCCATGAGACAGTTTTAAACTGCTGGTCATGGATGGTTGATTTCATGCCATGGAGCTGACCACTGACGTATGAGGGGCAGATAACTGTCTTTTCAGATCACAAGCTTCCGATTAGGATATAGACTGTTCAGACATGATTTCAATAAGGTCACAAGCAGATTAAGTAATATAAAAACAAAACTTCATGCTTACAATGAGGAATGCTGTCCTGGAATGTAAACATTTCAAAACAATATTACTATTTGTTGTTTTGCTTGTCAACTATGTATAAAAGTGTACACCCTGTCAGAAGGGGTCAAAGCATATTTTCAGTGGTATGTGGCATCTGTTTCATGAAGATCTCTAAGAACTAACAGAATGGATTTAAAAAGTAATTGTTTTGTATAACAGAAATAACAACCATTTTAATTTTTTTTAATTCATGATTACAAAATTGAAGAAATAAATCAAAACTTTTTAAAACATTGAGTTGAAAATTTTTAAAATAAAATATAAAACTTGATTTCCTTAACAAAAGCATTAATATCTCCTCCGTTTAAACAATGTTGGCTTGGACAAGAACTTGAACAAGCATTTTCAGTGCAGTTTAAAACCTTATTATTAAGATTTTTTACAATTGCTTTATTTTATGATTTTAATCTGGTTCTAAAATTATCTCCTAGTTTCTATCCCAAAATATACATACCAAACCAAATAAATTATTTTTAAAACTGTCTTTTATCAAGTTTAGATGTAATAAAGTGTCTGCTAAAGCTCATTATTTAAGCAATAAAAAACAAAATGATAAGATAAGACAGATTATCTCCCTTGAGTGGGTTCATGTCACAGTAAGCTATATTGATTACAAATACGTGATTTAATACAGCATTTGACCTCAACCTTTTCTGGTACTCATGAAGATCTCTAAGAACTAACAGAATGGATTAAAAAAGTAATTGTTTTGTATAACAGAAATAACAACCATTTTAATTTTTTAAATTCATGATTACAAAATTGAAGAAATAAAATAAAACTTTTTAAAACATTGAGTTGAAAAAATTTTTAAAATAAAAAATAAAACTTGCTTTCCATAACAAAAGCATTAATATCTTCTCCTTTTTAACAATGTTGGCTTGGGCAAGAACCAGAACATGCATTTATCTTCTTATTCTTCTTGTTTGGGGTTTAAAGTCCGCTTTCAAACTTACGATTATATCGCAGACTGAACATGCATTTATATTTTCAGTGCAGTTTAAAATCTTATTATTAAGATTTTTTACACTTGCTTTATTTTATGATTTTAATCTGGTTCTAAAATTATCTCCTAATTTCTATCCCAAAATATACACACCAAACCAAATAAATTATTTTTAAAAATGTCTTTTGTCTAGTTTAAATGTAATAAAGTGTCTGTTGAAGCTCATTATTTAAGCAATAAAAAACAAAATGATAAGATAAGACAGATTATCTCCCTTGAGTGGGTTCATGTCACAGTAAGCTATATTGATTACAAATACGTGATTTAATACAGCATTTGACCTCAACCTTTGCTGGTACTCACATAATTTGTGATACAGATGCTTTTACTGTTTTAAATTTCAAAACATTTTTTAAAATCTCTTGAAAAATGCTAAGAATCCACCAAGACATTGATATTGTATTCAAAAGAGTTACTATTGGCCTACTGGTAAAAATGTCATCCAGTGGTCATTAAAAATGTCACATTTTATGTCCTTTAGTCCAGGGGCATAGCAAGGGGGGGGGGGGGGGTGGCGGGGGGTGACACCATTTAGGGGGGGTGACACCAAGGCAAAAAATAGCAAAATATATACAGAAAATGATAATTCCACTTAATTAAGTGATTAATTAGAGCGTTAAATATGTTAAATAGTCTTTTAAGGGTGCAATTTTGAGGGGGGGGGTGGGAATCGAAAGTTTGAGGGGGGGGGGGGGGCAAATCGAAAATTGAAAGTTTGTCCCCCGGAAGGGTCGCTAAGCCTCTGGGGGGTGACACCATTAAGTGCCGCACCGGGTGACACCCGACCTCGCTATGCCACTGCTTTAGCCCCCAGTGGTCATTACACATTGTCACATTTGTAGCCCTTTAGCCTACAGTGGTCAGTATACAAATCAAATAGTTAAGTAATCAATAATCACATTCAATCTTGTTTGTAAAAAAAAAATTTTACAAGCCAAAATTTTGGGTAGAAATAAATACTGCATAATGTGTGGTAAGTAAATATCTGCATATCTATACAAATACATGTGTCAGCATTATTTTAGTTGAACTAATAACCCAGATCCCACCACTGCTAGTTTGTGGCCAATATTTTAATAATTCTTTATTGTAAAAAGCACAGAACATACCAAAAAAAATCCAATTAAATGTATAAAGAAAATACCACAACAATAAGATCGTCAGGATCAAGCAAATGTTGACCTGTCCAAAGGATTGTCAACATACAAAATGATAATTAGGTACCTCTCTGTATAGCTCAAAATAACAAAATTGCTGATGCAGAAAATAGGTTATTGATTAAGTTTCACTTGTAGTTTTATGCTGATACATTGAAATTGTTGTCCAAAATTACCTAAATAATGCTTTGTCCCACAAACAAAGGTGGCTGGGCTTAGTGCTGACCACATTATCTCCTTGTATGCCCATGTCATTGAAACAAATGAACTCTACTTCATCTGTCCCTTATGTCTTTGACACTAAGATGATGAATGTTGTATTTAAATTTATAATTGCCTTTTTAAAAAATTCTGAACATAATTTTGGTTGGTGGTATAAGTAGAAATAGAAGCATGACTGATAATCTTTTTTTTTTTTATTTGGAATTTTTCTAGAAGGTTGTATCTGACTGAAGTATCATTACCATCTCATCATTTGAAATTGGTTTATAAAGCTAAATAAGATAGTGGTCTAACATTATTTATTATTTAAACATGTATGTTTGTTTTGTGTTTAATAATTGCTGGTTATTACTTATTCTTGTCATTAAATATTAAAAATATGTGTTGAATACAGCTGAAGGTTATTTTTCTATTTTTAGATGTACTTCGACACGGGTGTCAAAATGAGTGACATTTTGTTTGCTGGATGGGACACCAACTCTAATACTGGTAAATTTGTCTTCGTTCTGCTTACATATAGCTATATATCAGATCAGGACAATGGGAGTCCACCCAGCTCTGAAGGGTATCTGACTTAAGGGAAAGTAAAGGCAGCTGGGCATTGTGCTGACCACACTATCTACAGAGTTCTTTTTCCCTTCATATTCCCCGGTAAAGAAACATAGGAACTCTACTTCATCTGCCCAATGGGTCACTACATCTTTAGAGGAACTTTATTTGTGTATTTAAATGTATTTTGTCCACATAAAATAAACCTGACACCCCTCCCATCCAATACACACACACAACACCCAGTACTTAATTAGTTTTACAGTAATTTGATAAAATGAAAAAAGGCTTGATTTCCAGTCAACTGTACTTTATTTCCATTTGCCTAGATGTGGTCATTGCATCGCTGATATCATTCCTCATCACAATCTTGTTTGAGGGCTTGAAAACTTTCAAATCTTTCATCATACTCATGAGAAAAAAGAAGCCTACATTTTCTGGAACATCAGGCATTGAGATTAGAGAATCACAGACCAACCTTCTTGCCTCCCTAGATAATCCTGACCCTAACCAGATCAGAAAGTGGAGGTTTGGATTTCATTTTTTTAAATTGTTAATTAAATGTGTGGATTGCTGTGTTGTTGGCCTACTTACGTGGGTTGCAATAGTTAAATGGAGGGGGGAAAAGGGGAGGAAGCTATATGAATGAAAATAAAGCTGAGCTCTTTTTGGTTGAAGTATTTTAGTTTGACCTTAGCCAGCCAGTAGCTTGTTACATACAACATAACCATATTATCTGGAATGGTTGTCATCAAAGTTTAGACTATAGAAAGTGTTTTTTTTATTTATCGAGTGTATAGAGGACAAATGCAGTCTGTCCAAAAACATAATCTCGAGAAAAATGAGTGTATAAATCTCATTCCAAACTGGTGCAAAATATTACGTTAAAACATTCATAAAATATTTGCATTCTACTTTTCTGACATTGTACATTGAGTGTTCTTGTAGCTTGTATTATTGACAATGTAAGTAAAAGTACATCACTTTCTCAAAAAAGTGGACATGCTACATTTGTCGTCTATACATGCGTTATGTTAGTGTTAGAGTTTAAAAATTGGGGATACAAATGAATGTAATAATCTTTCTTCACTTCTGCTAGTGCTTATCATGGGTCATCAACTACATATTTCCTGAGTTCTCTTTCCTGGGTCATTTTCTTCAGAGTGACCCTTCCTGGTGTGTCTACCTCCCTTAGGGCAGTCACCAAGAACAATTTTAGGAAATACGTTTTGGGATTCCTTTGTGTGTGCCTGTCTTAATGGTTACATTGTAGTGCCTTCATGATGATATTGATATGCCCTGAGACCAGACCTCTGTTTTTCTAATGATATCCTCTAATACACGGGTTCCCAACCTGGGGGTCGCGACCCCCCTGGGGGTCGCGACCCCCCTGGGGGTCGCGAAGGTCTTTCTGGGGGGTCGCCAACTGGTATACTAAACCTTAGTAATTTGAAAAAAAACCATAAATATTTAGAAGAATTTTTGAAATTCGGCTTCATTAACATCACTGAAAATGTAATAGAGAAGAAACAAAGTGCACTGTACAAAGTTGTTCTCAGTCACGAATCTATGAAATCTTCAAAACTAAAACGTCATTTGAGACACCAAAAATATATGGAGTTCTTTCGTCGGTAAGAAGCTAGTTGCAAACGCCAGAGACTTGATCGAACAGGAAGTTTTCACCAGCATTAGTGCAAGCATCAAATGAAGTCGCCATAGAAAATGCCAAGCAAAAAAAAAAAAAAAACAATAGGAGAAAATCTCATCAAACGTTGCATGTACGTAAATGTTAAATAACACTATTTTATTGAAATTAAGCTTTCACCATTGTTTGCTTTTCAAGTTAATAAATCAACAGACGCGAGTTCGTGTTCGCAGTTGCTGGTCTGTGTCTATATTCATGCGGATGATAGCGAAGAAGAGTTGCTCTTTTGTGAAGATATCATGGAGAAAATAAATACCTTTTTTCTTTTTGAAACTGGATGATTAAAATGGGTTAGAACGGCTGTGGGGGTTTGTACGGATGGCGCGCCATCTATGTTTAGCTCAAAATCGGGCTTTCAGAAACTAGAAAATATTTAGCTCCCTAACCACTGCCCTAACCAATCGACATCAAGAGTCCATTGCTAGTATAAGTCGTAAATTATATAAAATCTGGAGCCTTCAAAGAATTGAGCAAAAACATTAATATAGATCACGAGGTTCTGCTCTTCTACACTAAATTATGCTGGCTGTCAAACGAAATGTTGTTAATTGTGTTTTTGAATTAAAATCTGAAATCAAATTGTTCTTGGAAGTGCAAAGGAAACAAGACTTTTTGGTATACTTAAAACTACATAGAGTGGTTGGAGAGAGTATCATACCTAGTAGATGTGTTGGAACATCAAGATAAGCTTAACCTGAAGCTTCAGGGAAAATGAACGAATATTATAACTTTCCATGTTAATCTCGGGGCATTTTTATCAAAACTGCTAAATCGGTAAAGAAAATAAATCTTGGAAATATTGTAAATTTGAGAAACTCTGCGGTGTGGTAGATGAATCTGATTGTGAGATAATTAAAATTTTGAAAGAAGCGATTTCTGAGCATCTTGAATCTCTGGAAAACGAATTGCATCGCTATTTCTCTGAGCTGTAAAAAAGAAGAATCTGCATTTACGCATTACCCATTCTCATCTTCCCTTGATGTTGCCAGCATTCCCGATGAATAACAAAATGAATTCTTTGATTTCCAGAATGATTCCGAGTAAGATGAAAAACTGCAGACACAATTTTGGTGTAGTATTCACCATTCATACCCAAACGTAAAATTGATTGACTTTTCGGGAATATATTTTCAACACAAAAAAAAACAAAATTAAGATAATTATGACATAGGTTGGCGTTAACAAAAAAAATTTTAAATTAAAAGGTTAACCACGAAGGTTTAGTGGATAGTATGTAATTTTACTCATGCTATTAAAACATTTATCAAGAGTAGTTCATATTGAAAGTCTACTAGAAAATCTTATTTTAGTGCTTATTAACTTCCATACTAATTTCGGCTTTTTAGTTCTATGGGGGTCGCGGGTCACTTACTTTTTATAAAAGGGGGTCGCCACTCGAAAAAGGTTGGGAACCACTGCTCTAATAAGTCATCACTTGTTTGGTCAAAAGGTTTTCTTCTTCTTCTTCTTTCTTCCAAAAAAAATTAAGTATTACTTGTCACCTTGTTATTCACTGTACAGGCAGTTGACCTGCTTTTCTTTTTGGGTTTGCTACCATAGCCTTTGTCCAACTCTGCATGGGATTTCTTTAATAACAATTCAAGGAGATTCTGCATAAGCTATTCTTTATAAGGTTTTCAATGGATAAACAAAATATATTCCAAGGGTTTTAGTTAACAGTCATTGATTGGATGTTGCAATTAAACATATCAATGTAAACTGTTTTGTCTATACTTTTTAAACACTTTCTCTATAGCTTAATATAATTTGTAACATATTTCAAGGACTTATACATAAAATGTATTTTTATTTTGAACAGGGCAATAATTTTTCTTGTTGAAAGTTTCATCCATGTTGTGAGTTTCTTTTATGGCTACCTGCTGATGTTGATTGTGATGACCTACAGTGTTTGGTTTGTTCTGGCTGTAGTTATAGGTAACATTTTTTGTTGACTCCAAACATTTAAAATTGTCATGGTTTGCTTGATTTTATCAACTAATGTAGTAGAGTTCAGATTGTTATTGTACTTTTGTAAACATCTAAAATGTTGTGACTTTAAGCAAACAAATCTAATGTGGGTGAACATTCAGATACCTGGAATGGTGTGGTCTAGCATTAGAGCACTAGCCAGTTAACCCAAATATCTTGAGTTCAAATTCAAGTAAGTAGAACGTCACTAAGTCCACTTATCTCTGATGGGTACCTAACCCATGTTAGGGAAAGTAAAGGCAGCTGGGCTTAATGTCATCCTATAAGCCTACACATATAGTTTATATTAAAGGGTCAGGATTTGGATATTTCACGTTCCACCCCATACACATACAGTTTCTTGTGTTTGTTTCATAGGGTCAGGCTTTGGATATTTCATGTTCCACCCCATACACATACAGTTTCTTGTGTTTGTTTCATAGGGTCAGGCTTTGGATATTTCATGTTCCACCCCATACACATACAGTTTCTTGTGTTTGTTTCATAGGGTCAGGCTTTGGATATTTCATGTTCCACCCCATACACATACAGTTTCTTGTGTTTGTTTCATAGGGTCAGGCTTTGGATATTTCATGTTCCACCCCATACACATACAGTTTCTTGTGTTTGTTTCATAGGGTCAGGCTTTGGATATTTCATGTTCCACCCCATAAGCCTACACCTACAATTTAAATACTCCTCACGTGCCAAGAAGGACACGACTGCCAGTTGCTGCAGTGGTAAGGCTACACCCAGCATAAACACAGAATTTGAAGGTTTTATTTCTTTCACAATCAGAATTCATTCATTCCCTCTAACCTAACATTACTGATTATCTTACCAACAAAAATATTAACATTTGAACAATTATGCATTCCAACTTTGATACTTTTTCTCATATCTAAAGCAAAGTACAGTCTTAAAATATTTTTCCCTTTGACTATACTCTCGACACTTTGCAACCATCTTTTTTGCCAATTTTTTTACACTATTTTTTATATTTTACAATGCACTTTTCAACTATAAATAAGCAGAATATCCAAGCAATGTTATTAAAACTATGTTTTTTGTTGGCCCTTAGTAAGTTTAAAGTTAACAAAGAACTAACATCATTATCCAGCTAATTCTTAAATGAAAACATTAAAACCCAAGAAAATTATGAATATTGTAAAAAAAAAAGAAAGATTACACGTTAAAAATCTGGGATTAACTCAGAACATTTACTCTACCAATTTCCATTTGACATTCTAGTGTAGATTTTTTTTTCAAATACTTGTTGTTTATACTGTACAGGGTAAATAGTTTCAGGTTATTAATCTACTAACTGGGTTAGGGTAACTAAACACTAACCTAAAGCCTTTATTTGAATAAACCTTATGCATATAATGTTCCATAAAATGCTTTCTATTTAATTCTTTTTATTAGCAATTTACATCTAATGCAGGGGTCTCCAAACTTTTCAGTCCGAGGGCCGCATTAACTGTCAAATTTTAGTTCGGGGGCCAGTTTCTTCCAGGCATGTCTTTGATTTTTTCTGGGCAAAGTTCTTCAGCCATCACCAACAAACGATTTTTCCTTGGACAAAAAGATCTCAGCGGGCCGGATGAGAGGACTCCGCTGGCCGGTTGCGGCCCGCGGGCCGTAGTTTGGAGACCCCTGATCTAATGCAATGTTTCTCTTAAAATTTCTATACTCTTGATTTTAATCTCTGCATCAATCTCTAGGCGATGTTACTGAAGCACCATCAGTTTCATCCATCATTACATGAGTAAGAATAGGCAACTCTGGTTTATCTTATAATAAAATTCTAGGAAGTTTTTTCAATAAAACCATCATTTAAAAATATCCCAATAAAATTTCATTTTTAAAATATTGCTAATATAGAAATAGTTTAATGTATTTAATTAAATAGTTTTGTATGTATCACATAGACTTTATGTTAGCATTAAAAAATTTTTTAAGAAAAACCAGTTGCTGCCCTTTTGGTGTTGTGGATTAAACAATGTCCAATGGATTTTTTCTTTCCATTAAGTTGTTTTTTTCCTGTAGTATATCTATATGTTTTGTTATATTATTAGTTTTCCCGAACAAAAAACATTTACTCCACATCTTTAACTAATTTGTGTGATTCAGCAGCGTTTAAAAATACTATATTGATTTTTTTTTAAAATATGTTATGGGTTGTATTGCATGTTTTTCATTTTTTCAGTTTAGACAAAGATTGCTTCATCTCATTATATTATGGTGGATTTAGTTTAGTTTTATTTAACACAAATTCATATTTTTTCTTACTTGGTTTGCTGTGATTTGACAATGTTACTTTTCTCTTTTTATTTGCCTTATTACCTTACTCTGTTATGTTATTTCTATTTTATTTATTTATTAGCCATTATAAAAAACATGAAGGCCTACATTTAAAAAGTTGATGTATCTGTTCCTTATAATGTATATGTGTTTTTAGAAATTTAGTTCCTTTGCTTTTTGGTTAATATTGCACTGTAAATATGATTCATTAAACAAGGTTGTAGATTAAAATTCTACCAAATAAAAAACATCAAGTATTCAGACTAGATAAAAACATAATTAATAAAAAATGTATTTTTTTTTTTTACCTGCTCCTTACAAAATAAAACAAAATGCTTGAATATATCAACTTATTCAGAGCTAATAAATTCAACTCAATATTTTTTAGAGCTTCATTCGTAACAAATTTATGTAAATGACATATTTTTATAACATGTAAGCAAAAAACATTATCTAACCTCTAAAAAATTAATTTGTTTATTTTTCTCAGAAACATCCAGATTGCAGAGTCAGCAAAGAAGTTACAACACTATTTCCCAAGAACCCAACTAGATGCAAAACAGCTATTTATTTAATGTTTTTTTTAAGATGTTATACTTTAATGAACTTGCCTAACCATTACGTATTATGTTGATTTTTAAATTGCGCTAATGTATTGTTTGTCCATACTTTATTGTTTAATTACCTGGTGGCTTTTTAAATTTTTTTTTATATTCGTACATTACCATATGTTAACAGTTTTAATTTATTTCTCTTGCTTTAAAATATGCTTTGGTTTATTTATGTTTCAGCTTCTAGAAAAACGCTTATGTTTTGTCCATAAAATAAATAACCTTTTTTATTGACCTAATTTTAGTGGACATCATTTGACACGTTGGCAACTTTAATATTATATGCATTACTCTTTTTATTGTTTACAGGTGCAAATAAGACAAAACCAACATTGATATTAAAGTATTCTTTTTATAGACAAACAACATTCATTAATTACGTCTATAAAAAAATTCAATTTTTTTAATAATCACTTGAATTTTATTCATTTTTTCGCACTGTAGAATAGCATTTTATACCTCAATATTTATCTATGATTGGACATTGTGGTCAAATGGAATAGAGTGTGATTGCTAACATAAGTCTTGAGATCATTTTCCAGGCTGGAATAAAAACTAAATACATAAATTTCCCTTGCTCATTTGGGTCCTGAATTATGAGTAGGAATGTAAAGATAGCTAAAACCACACATTTACATCTTAGGCCAAGATCATGAGACAGTAGAAGTAGGTGATCTCCTGTTACATCTGCTGTTTAGACTACAGGTCTGAAACTCTGGGTACTTATCTAGAAAAAAGATTTGTATAAAGTTAGTTGTTTCTGTTATTTGAAGAATATGTTACTTGAAATAAAAAAAAAATTATTATTCATTTTTTATTCTTTATTTGTAGCATGTCCTGATCTATGTTTTGAACTGTTGCAGTTTTTCTCCCATATAGGTATATATATATATATATATATATATATATATATATATATATATATATATATACATATGTTTACTGTTTTATTTCCTGAAGCTTCAAATTTCATTTTTTGAAAAAAAAATTTCATGCTGTAATACATACTTAATGAAAGTTTTAGAGTTGCCAAGAACTAAAGCTTTAGAGAAATAAAAGCTAAAAAAAACTACAATTGAACACAGCACCTCATTATTATATGTAGCAGGATCCCAACCACCCAAGATTCTACTGATTTTCTATGGATGAATAAAGGTGCTCTGTAATTATTTTTACTCAACACCTTGTAAGATACCTTTATAAGATACATTTTTAGAATATAGAATTATAACATAAGAAATAAATGGTTCTCATCAATAGCTGGGCAGAAATAGGTTTCTCAAGGCTAAAATTATGGTAACACTAACAGTAGTCAGAGTACAAATAATAATAGAAAATAATGTAATTAAATATATAGCAGCTGCATGCGGTTAGAGCACACACAATTATCTTAATTTATCTAGATCTAGCTCCTAATCCAAATGCACAAAGCTCCGTTTTTTTTAACTACTATATAGGATTTTTTTCGCACCCGCCTTTTCTGGTACACTTTAAAAACGGCCCCGACAAAACGATCCATTCATATTGGCTCCAGACAAATAAATTGTATGATCACTTTTGCAATGCTCCTAGTCGTTTTGTACAACCCACTAACCGCATGCATTTCCTATACGTCCACAAACTGAATGAAAAACGTTTTCATGAACCAATAGTAGTTTATTAAAAAATCTTGTGAGAAAAGTGCAATTCATTAATTTTTTTGTCAATGAAATGTCTTATTAACCCCTCTTGAAGATTTGTTGCTTTAAAAAGACACTTGGTGTTTACAGGATAAACGACATTTTGTTTTGATAACCTACAAGCATACTGCAGATAAATCATAATAAATGTACTGTGTAGACCTACACGGTAGCTACAGAGTTTCTTCCAGTGTCCAGGCATCTCTTTGAGTCCGCTGGAAGAATCACTGGGTAGCTAAAAGACGGGAGCTAATTTTCGGGTGTCGTAATGACGGAAGCCGTTTTGTCGAGTCTAAACGACGGGAGCCTATTTGTCTGGAGCCTTTATATTGACGCGAGCCCTTTGTCGGGAGCGAATTTGACGGGGTCCATTTGTCGCTGGCCCTTTAGACGTGGTTCTTTTGTCGGGGCCGTTTATTTTTAACGTCGCGCAGGCCTTCCCCGCACCATTGTATAATGTACATATACAAATTCCAAAACCTGTGAAGTTAGTTCAATGAATTAATAAGTGGAATTGCTGTTACAAAAAAACACAATACGAGGAGGGTTATTAGTGTCTAATAGTAGATCTAGGCCTAGTTTCCAAAGGACAAGAAAAGAGCTGAAGTGTTACAGTGTTAGGTATTGTGGAGAGAGTAATTTGTTAGGTTGCCGTTGGATTTGATTAACCACTAAGAAAATAATCGTTTCCGGTTCATAAGTGGGGGAATGTGACTGTCATGTGCCATATCATGTGACTTCACCGTAGCAGAATCCAAAATGGCAGCCACCGTTAAGAATTGTATGTTGCTTTTTGTGATAGTTGTTATAACTCTAAGTCTAACAACATGCCATAAATTCAAAGATTTTCCTTATAAAGAAGCGTATTACGATCAATACGTCGATCATTTTAATCAGATGTCATTTGGTGAAAAAACCTTCAAGCAGCATATTTTATATCAAGGTAAGAACTAGTTACACTAAGTTACTACTACAAAATACTAGTAGGGATTTTGGTAAAAAAACACTAATCATCATATAAAAATAAAAATTACATATTCTTGTAGAGCTCAACTATATGAAAACAAAACAAAAAAGATTTTCGGATGATATTTAGAATCGACCCTTTGAATCCCGGACAGATCGTCCCCCCGGCGTGGCCTCAACCAACCGGCGGGCTCGTTGCATTGAGTTAAATATAAACTCAAAACAATAATATAAACAATCTCCTTTCGGTCGGTCAGGCCACATACCACGCACGCATAGTGTTGTGTGTCGTGCCTTAACCAATATAAACTATCTCCCTTCATTATCATTAGATATATTTAATTAATTAATTAATTAATTTTCTAATTATAAAATTATGTATGATGCTATAGAAGTAGGTAAGTATATTTTTTTACTATGTATTTGTACTATTAAACATATTAAAGAACATCGTTGTTTCAATACCATCCTCTCCCCTTATTGAACTCAAAGTTAAACTTTTAACCCCGTTTGTAAAGACTAGCTGTATGCTGTAAGGCGGCGGGTGGGTAGGGTATATACTCATTGAAAAAAAAAATCCACCGTGGTGCGTGTTATTGGCCTTGGGCCTTGGGTGACCGTTGTTGGCGCTTGCTGTGAGGGGGAGAGGGGGGTGTGTTATACTCGGTGAAAAAAAATGCACCGTGATATTGGCCTATGATGACGTCGGCGCAAGCGGAAAGGGGTGGGGGGGGAGACGTTTTTTTTTTTTTTCAAAACCAAGAACTAGGCGTTTCAAGGCAGTAATGAAAATCAAGGACTGGTATAGCCATGATGTCGAATTTAACGAGTGATGCTTGCTGGGTCTATCATACGATTGCTTGGCGATGGGAGTCTCGTCAAGCTCAGTTTATATTTACAGTGAACTATTGGGATGCTGTCATGCACAAAGTAACAGCTACCGAATGTAGCACTTAAAACATCGAGTGCATCCCGCTCATTATAAATCTTTGAAATACAAGTTATGGATAGTCCAATAGGCAATAACTACTAATACTTGAAGGACTGTCAGAATATATGCATTGTATTATAAAATTAATCCTTACAATATAACTGAAATGTGCATCCAAATATGATTAGGCTAATGGTATCTGCATTTAAATAAACAAAGTCAAATACCTACCCCATTCAGTAGAAATATTAGGCTACTTTTGCATGGCAGCACAACGACATTTTTTTAGATTTTGTAATGAGTAGCCTAGTCATGCATTTAACTAGAATAAAGGGTTGTACTCAATAGCAATGACAATAATGAAATGCCGGCTTCAAATGCCGGCTTCCCCGTATTCTTCGACTAGAAAGACACCACCCTCCACCTTTTGCCTAGTTGAATATAAAGTTACACTTTCAACCCCGTTAGGATGCGTGAACTACTGGTGACGTAACTACTGAAAAAAATATATTCTGCTGTTAAATTCCCCTCCCCTACTCCCAGCATTTCACTTTGGGGCCATACACAACATCAGGAAGGTCTAGGTCGGTGTTTTATCTCGTGCAAGTTTACTCACAACACGACTACACACTACGGTTGTATCCAGGATTAAAGCTGCGACACTTACTTAGAGTGGGATTTATTCGTTTGATCATTGTGCTTCAAATTCTGTTTCATTTTAGGATTAGAGTGATAGTATGTTGGAATTCAGTTAGTTTGTTAATTAATATATTGATCTAATGTCGTGTACCATCAGAAACTAAATTTATTGGCAAGGCACATGTGTAGGCCGTGTAGGCTAAAGAATGACCTCTAGATCGAGCCAAAGATGGCTGGTTAAGGTTGACATACTGAGGTTTTCAAATTTCCTGGTGATGCTTTTCTAACGGATTTTATTTTGTGCTTTCTTTGGGATTATTTTGTGTGATGTGAATATTCAAAAGTAATTTGTAAGTAGTATGCTTTTCACATTCAACCAATTTAACAGTTTGCGGTCGATCTGCGGCCGGGCTGATTAATTTACATTTAGCGAAACTACACACTACACGGCGCCCTAAGGCCGTTGTTTCAGCATGCCCTACTAGTCAATTATAGACAACTTTAGAATCAACACATGTAGCCAATACATCGATTTTTATTTAATAATCTTCAAAAGCCATTCCTCTAGGGTCGTTATTTTCACGAAATTGTCGTTTTCCAATTTGTTGTCAAGAAACTGGTATTTAGTTCACGAGAACGTACGAAAACCACTCATGCGTGACCGAAATCGTCGATCGGGTGCCTTCACGTGGTTTGACACGTGTTGACATGGGCCTTTGTTTACATCGAAACATAGCTCAAAACGGCCCTTTTTTAAATTAATTCTTCGAAAAAATGGCTATGTCCATTTCTAAAAAGGGTCATTTTCGGGCCCATTTTAAAAAACGTAAAAAAATCCGAACTACACGTAGAAAAAATGGCTTTTTCGGCCCTTTTTAGCTCCAAAAACGCCGTGTTTACGGGTCGCGTGACGTCATCGTGACGTCAGCCGCCAACCAAAACGCGTTGAAAGCGCGCGTTTGATTGGTTGGCGGCGGATACTATGAAATATCAAGGGTTTTCTCTAAATTTTTACCAGATTTTCTGTCTAGCTCAAATAGTTTTTTTTAGCGAATTTTTTTGTGAGGGGTGGAATGCCCTTGCTTTTGCATTGGCCAATTGTGACAAGTCATGGTATACCTGAATAAATTGAGCATAGTTATTTTACTTGCAGTTGTATTTTGTTCATATTTGCAGAGTTGAGCTAGAATGATATATAGAACTTGTATATGCTGTTGAAATAAATAAAAATAATACAGAAGTATATTTTTGTGTTGGCTTCCTTCCATAACCCCAAAAAAACTGTGCTGCGCAAATATGAAAATGTTTCTAAAGCAATGTTTTACAGTGAATGAAAGAACTACAAAGTTAGCAATCTAAAGTAAATGACTTGAACACTGAAATGTGCATATAACTGCATATAACTGCCCCATTATTTTGGGCAGGTGAAGTAGAGTCCATCTTTAAGACATTTTGTTATAAAACTGTGCTGCGCAAATATGAAAAAGTTTCTAAAGCAATGCTTTATATAAATACAGTGAATGAAAGAACTACATAGTTAGCAATCTAAAGTAAATGACTTGAACACTGTAATGTGCATATAATTGCCTTATTATTTTGGGCAGGTGAAGTAGAGTCTATCTTTAAGCCATTTTGTTAAAAGTGAACTGAAGTTATCTGATCAATGTTTTTATGTGTGTATTTTGTATGAATTCTGATTTTCAGCATATAAATATAACTAAGTAAGGGTAAGTAGAACTTGAATACTTAAAATTACAGTTAGCACATAGCTAGTGTAGTGTATTCTAGCAACAGACAGGTAACCTATGTCTGACTCAGCAAAATTTTACTTCAAGCAAAACTAGAACCAGAGTTGAAAAAATGAAAGACAGGTAGATCTATATTAAAATATGTTTAAAACAACAAGTAGGAGATTTGTTTGTACATTACATAAGAATACTGTTGTTAGTGTATCAAAACTAAAAGCCGGCAGATCGGGATGAAGAAATATAACATTGGAGTCAATGGGGGCAACGTGACCTACTTACGGTGACTACTTTCAAATGAGTATTTACTAATGTCAAAGTCAAAATATCCAAAAATAAATATCATTTCTATAAAAATGGGATGTATCTGCTTTGGAAACTTTCATTATCTAAATGGAAACTTTTCAAAAATCGCGTTTTTAAAGCATTTGAAGTTAACCTTTATACCGCGGTAAGACCAAAGCAGAGACAGCATGCAATCAGATCGCTAAGCCATCAAAACAACTGGAAAACCATTCTACTTTTCATTTAACATTAGGAAATGACCTTTTAAACTTAATTAATTACCATAAATTAAAAACTTATTAGTATGCAAAACTAAATCTCGTGCGCCCGGTATCAGAAAGTAATGGGAGATTTCGGGTCATGTTTTTACCGCGATCTCGGCCGATACCGACAAGCCTAATACTAGATCTAGAAATCTAGTACTAGTGACTTATAGTAGTTACTAGTTAGTAGTAGTTAAGTTTAGTTAGTGTAAGAAGAGATTATTTATTATGAGTGAGTTGAGTTTGAGTCTCAAAAATGAGTGAGACTGGATTATGTGTGGATACAGGAGTTTAGATGGGAGTAGGGGATCTCTATTAGGCTAGGCCAGGGGTCGGCAACCTTTTGAGATGGAAGAGCCAAAAGTTACCATTTACAAAATTTCCCAGCATTCAAAGAGCCGCTAACAGATTTATTTCAACATTATGATCTTTGATTAGGATTCAATATATATAATATAATTATATTTCAGATGAAAGTGTATTAATAAATAAAAATATATATAAAGCAATGTATGTATGTGTGTGTGTCAGTATTTTATTTATTAATACACCTTTCATCCGATCGCCATGATACTTAGGAATTTGTTGAGAATAATCCTGGGGATGTATCTGCGAAAATAAAATGTCAATTTTGCAGGTTGGCGCGCCGGCAGGAATCGATTCGATTTATAAAAATAAAAGTTGATTGCGAATTGACACCGATCAACCAATCTCCATGAAACTTTGGGTGAGTTGATTAGAACACTCCAGGGGATGTTTCTGCAAAAATATCGTTTTTTTTATTTCGCAAGGGCGGCATCCCGGGAGGGTGTGGTATGTAAAAAAAAAAAGTCGGATGAGGTTTAACACCGTTAATCCGAGTGCCATGACACTTTGGAGAGTTTATGAGAATACTCCCGAGAATATTTCTGCGAAAAAAATGTCTTATGGGCAGCGCCCAGGAGGGTTCGATTTTCGTCAATACACGGTTTGGCGCTCAGAGTTCCAGAGCGGCTATGTTAGCACTTGGCATCCGCGATATTCTTTCGATACAATGGGTTGCTATAGTCGCTCACTAAATCGAAGCAGGCGTGTCCTTCGGCGTCTCTGCAGGGTACGATTTGGCGCCCAGTGTGTTCCCGCGAGCACTACGCGCCTACGTTAGTTCTAAAGAGCGCCCTTCAATATTGATAATGCGGCACACGACGTTCGATGATTAAACCGAGCTAGGGGCTGTACGTGACGCCCCTATGATAGTGTAATCGGTTTCAAAAGAGCGTCACTTTCCGTCCCCGACACAAAGGCGAGTGATTAACGATGATATTAAATTGAGTGATAAACTTAAACTCAAGGCTTTCATACAGCGCGCTCCAGGGCGGTAGTGTAGGTAAACCAGTGCCCCGATAAATATTATACAAGCACAGGCATTGTTTACATTTAAAATAACTCAGTTTTAGAAAACAAGGAAGTACATCGAAATTGGGTGTAACTAAAAAATATTATAATAGAACAGCGAGTGTTTATTGTTTATATTTATTTATTATATCGTTCATTACCGAGTGTTGCAGTCTAAACATTTAATGAGTTTCAAGAATAAATTAAAATATGTATTAATATTTGTGCATGGAGCTGAAGAGCCGCACCTTGAGATCAAAAGAGCCGCATGCGGCTCACGAGCCGCAGGTTGCCGACCCCTGGGCTAGGCTATAATAATTTATTAATTATGATTTATGTTGTGTTAGTGTGCACTTAGTTAGTCTTAGTTGTCACAATGTGTTACTGTACTGTTAGTTGTGTTAGTTAACTGTGATTTTATTTAACTTATTTTAGTTAACATAGTTAGTAGCAAACCTCTAGCAAGGGTTTTCCCTATCCCAGTGTTCAATAATGACAAAATAATATAATATTCTTAAAAATTGTCAATATCCCCATAGCAAAGAAAGTGAGTGTGATTGTTGGTTAGTGCCTAATGCTTTGAAACACACTAGGGACATCTCTAAATGTATACTCAAACATAAAACATTTTAACTTGTGTTTAAAAAAAACACAGCTCAACACAGATTATTGTTCTGCAGGCCTATGTATATTATAAAGTTAGTACTCCCATACAAACTACTCACACAGTACTTACAATGTACTCACTTACAAAATGCACACAAAGTACTCATACACAAAGTACTCACTTACAAAATGCTCCCACTCAAAGAACTCAGTACTCACATACAACGTGCGAACACAAGCAATTTACTTACAAAGTGCCAACACAAAGTATTTTCTTACAAAGTACTCACTTACAAAGCACTCTCTTATAAAGTGCTTACTTAAAGTACATGTTACTGTATTAGTATAGTAGTATATTTTTTGTGAGAGCTAATATTTTTGGTGTGGATATTGACATCAAGGGAAGGAGTGGGGTAAAATATTATACACTGTTGAACTTAAAAAATTGATGACCCTAAACTAGAATTTTAATTTAACCACAAAATAAAGGTGTTAACAAAATATACACAAATCATACATCATCATGTTGATATATTAAAAATATTTTTGCAGACAAATACTGGGATCCAAAAGGTGGGCCAATTTTCTTTTATGCTGGTAACGAAGGTGACATAGAAGGATTTTGGGATGCAAGTGGCTTCATTCATGAAATTGCACCAGAGTTTGGGGCATATGTTGTCTTTCCTGAACATGTTAGTACTCAAGTTAATGACATTCAAATGATTTTATCAGTGGGAGTATGTTATTCTTGTAAAGTGTGACTTGTACTTGCTGCTTTAATTTTATGATGCTGTGCTTTGCTCATCACCAGAGATATTATGGGAAATCTCTACCATTTGGTAATGACAGCTTTAAAGCAGGGCTACTTGGGCTTCTTACTGTGGAGCAGGCTATGGCAGATTATGCTGTCTTCTTGACTGATCTAAAGCAGAAGTTGAATGCTACAAACAGTAAAATTATAGCCTTTGGAGGAAGGTACCCATTTTATGTTGAGTAGACTAAAAAAGCACGGTTTGTTTTTATATTTCAATAAAATCATGTATTTTAAACAAGAGCTCACAAGTAACGTTTGTTGCAGTTATGGGGGCATGCTGGCTGCTTACATGAGGTTCAAGTACCCTAACATTGTTGATGGCAGCTTGGCAGCTAGTGCTCCTTTGTTCATGCAAGACCCAGCTGGGCCTCACGATTTCTTTTTCCAACATGTCACTCAGGTAAGTTAGCGGAGATAAGCATGCTGAGCCACAAGGGAGATCACCTTTCATTTTAAATTATAAGCACAAAATATGGTTTTCTTGCCTCACATTTACTAGAAATAATTTTGTATAAAATGGAGAAATTTGTCAGTAAACTTTAAAAAAAATATACATCTATTATAAATACTCAAGTGTTTGAAAATATAAACACATGCTTTCATGATATAGACCTATATATATTTTAAAACCAAAAAGTTATTATTTCCACAGGATTTTAGAGATATAGACCAGAAATGCTATGATTTAGTGAAAATTGCCTTCCAGCAAATGGACATTTTAGCCGCTCAAGGACAGCCAGGTCTGTCATAAGTTACTCTCTGATATTGTTGCTAAGGTCATTAGTTACTTTCTGATATTGTTGCTAAGGTCATTAGCTACTCTCTGATATTGTTGCTAAGGTCATTAGCTACTCTCTGATATTGTTGCTAAGGTCATTAGCTACTCTCTGATATTGTTGCTAAGGTCATTAGTTACTTTCTGATATTGTTGCTAAGGTCATTAGCTACTCTCTGATATTGTTGCTAAGGTCATTAGCTACTCTCTGATATTGTTGCTAAGGTCATTAGTTACTTTCTGATATTGTTGCTAAGGTCATTAGCTACTCTCTGATATTGTTGCTAAGGTCATTAGCTACTCTCTGATATTGTTGCTAAGGTCATTAGCTACTCTCTGATATTGTTGCTAAGGTTATTAGTTACTATCTGATATTGTTGCTAAGGTCATTAGTTACTTTCTGATATTGTTGCTAAGGTCATTAGTTACTATCTGATATTGTTGCTAAGGTCATTAGTTACTATCTGATATTGTTGCTAAGGTCATTAGTTACTATCTGATATTGTTGCTAAGGTCATTAGTTACTATCTGATATTGTTGCTAAAGTCATAAGTTATTGCCTATGTTTTCAAGTAGTTAAATGATTTTGTTAATTTTTCATGATTTAATAAAACGCTATAAGGGATGAAAATAAAAAATGTAATTGTAAATATTGCAATAATTTGATGGATTTTGTCATTAAGTTTTTTGTAATGTTCCAGGTCTAGATCAGATCAGCACCCAGTTTGGTCTGTGCAAGAAACTGACCGATCAAGATTCTTACCGCCATTTACAAGGCTGGGTCAGGAATGCTTTTACCATGATGGCCATGCTGGATTATCCTTATCCCACTGGCTTTATGGGTAACCTACCTGGCTTTCCTGTCAAGGTGTGTTGGTTTTATTACTGGCTATTTCTGTTATATAAAATTTGATTCTTACAATGCTTTTGTTCATAAGACACATTAAATTTCAATTAAAGATACATTTACCTTGTTTATATTTTTTGTCAGGTGGGTTGTGGAGCCATTATGAATGAATCTAATCCAATAGTTGGATTAGCTAAAGCTGCAGGTAACACACTCTTATTGCCTCAATAAATTTTTTTTTGTTTTTCACTGTTTGATTTATTTGTTTTTCTTGTTGGTCCAAACTTTAAAGTGTTGTGATTAATCCAAGCATTTTGTTTACAGGTGTATTTTATAACAGTTCAATATAGTGTTGTGATAAATCCAAGCATTTTGTTTACAGGTGTCTTTTATAACAGTTCAATATAGTGTTGTGATTAATCCAAGCATTTTGTTTACAGGTGTCTTTTATAACAGTTCAATATAGTGTTGTGATTAATCCAAGCATTTTGTTTACAGGTGTCTTTTATAACAGTTCAATATAGTGTTGTGATTAATCCAAGCATTTTGTTTACAGGCATATTTTATAACAGTTCAATATAGTGTTGTGATTAATCCAAGCATTTTGTTTACAGGCGTATTTTATAACAGTTCAATATAGTGTTGTGATAAATCCAAGCATATTGTTTACAGGTGTCTTTTATAACAGTTCAAGCATCCCTTGCTATGATAAATCCAAACATTTTGTTTACAGGTGTATTTTATAACAGCTCAAGCATCCCTTGCTATGATAAATCCAAGCATTTTGTTTACAGGTGTATTTTATAACAGCTCAAGCATCCCTTGCTATGATATTTTTGAGGAGTTTATTGAGTGTGCTGATCCGACAGGCTGTGGTACTGGGCCTGCTGCTATAGCTTGGGACTATCAGGTGAGGTATTGTTAATGTCGCCACCAGGTGAGGTGTTGTTTGTGTCACCACCAGGTGAGGTGTTGTTAATGTCACAACCAGGTGAGGTGTTGTTAATGTCACCACCAGGTGTTGTTTGTATCACCACCAGGTGATGTGTTGTTTGTGTCACCACTAGGTGAGGTGTTGTTAATGTCACCACCAGGTGAGGTGTTGTTTGTATCACCACCAGGTGAGGTGTTGTTAATGTCACCACCAGGTGAGGTGTTGTTAATGTCACCACCAGGTGAGGTGTTGTTAATGTCACCACCAGGTGAGGTGTTGTTAATGTCACCACCAGGTGAGGTGTTGTTTGTATCACCACCAGGTGAGGTGTTGTTAATGTCACCACCAGGTGAGGTGTTGTTAATGTCACCACCAGGTGAGGTGTTGTTTGTATCACCACCAGGTGAGGTGTTGTTAATGTCACCACCAGGTGAGGTGTTGTTAATGTCACCACCAGGTGAGGTGTTGTTTGTATCACCACCAGGTGAGGTGTTGTTAATGTCACCACCAGGTGAGGTGTTGTTTGTATCACCACCAGGTGAGGTGTTGTTAATGTCACCACCAGGTGAGGTGTTGTTTGTATCACCACTGGGTGAGGTGTTGTTTGTATCACCACTGGGTGAGGTGTTGTTTGTGTCACCACCAGGTTCTTTTTGTATCACCACCAGGTATCAGAAGATTTGATAATTAAACTGTTGAAAATCTAGCCTTTAATCTCAACCAATATATAAGAATGTTGTTCTAAATAGTTGTGTGTAATTTTCAATAATTGTTTTTTTTTCTGATTCTCTTTTCCTAGGCTTGTACCGAGTTATCTTTACCAAGGGGAAGTAACAATGTTACAGATATGTTTCCTGTGCTACCATGGACACCAGAGCTTAGAGCTACCTACTGCCAGAAGACGTATGGCATAACTCCCAGAGAAAGTTGGGCTTCAATACAGTTCCTAGGCTTAAGTAAGGGACATAATCAATTTAGTCCTAATTTCTGTTAAATTTTTTTAGTTATCCTTCTTGTTTCCTATGAAATTTTTGTTTTTTTAACTCAAGTATTTTTTTAATATCTCCAGAAATAAAAAGTGCCAGCAATATTATCTTTTCTAATGGCAACCTTGACCCATGGATGGGAGGCGGGGTAAGTCAAGCTCACCATTTTTACTTTCTCGTATACGAGTGTAAAGGAAGTATAGTAATCATGTAAAAAAAATCTAAATTGATATTTTCACAAATCTCGCAGGCAGTTTCATACCTATCTGAGTTGGAAACACTAAGTTTTACAATTTTATCTGTATGTCTATGTGTGTGTATGTATGTGTGTGCCTGTCTGTGAACATGATAACTTGAGTACCGTTGTAGCTAGGTTGATGAAATTTCATATATAAGTATTACATCAATTACAGTGTATCAGCTGTTTTTGTACTGATGTTTGAATTGTAGTTCTGTTATTGCTTGTAGTTCTACATATGTGATTAAACAAAGCCCCTTCAAAGCAAGTGTTGAAATCTTTAAAAAAGAATTTATATTGTTCTTGCTTCAGATGTCTCACCACACCACTTTGCTTTCATGTGTTTGTGAAGTTATCCCTATCATGTAACTTCTGTCTTGTGTTAAAAAAAATCTTTCTCAGATCAACGAAAACCTTTCACCATCACTGATTGCCATCCCTGTATCAGGTGGTGCTCATCATCTAGACTTAAGGTACGGCCCAAATCACATCTCTCACCTGTACCACACCTCTCACCTTAAGGGCATGGGCGGGTATGAAAACCAAAATAATCAAAATGCTTATTTCTCAACCTAATGTTGTAATATTTAGCATATAGTTATGACTCAATGAGTTAAATCTAAAATAAAAAATGGCTGAAAATTTCATGTCGTTGCCAAGGTTATGGCTGTCATCACCTTTAAACTAGCTGACTTGACAGTCCACTAATGTTGCCTCTACTCTACAGGGCATCCAACCAGCTGGACCCTATAGGTGTGATTGTGGCTAGAGAGAGAGAAAAGGGAATCATCCGAGCTTGGCTCAGCAGTCCTTAATTCAACCTAGCTGACCATTTTTTTTCTCTCAGGAAAGTCAAAGATTGGTTAGCACAAAAACTTAAGGCAAGGATTCCAGGATGAACAAAGTCTTTATTCAAACAAACCCAGTCACACTAAGTCTAAGCTGCCTTTATAACTTGATCTCATTTGTCTTAGCTACAACACTGATATTTTATTCTTTCATTCAGTTATTCATTACGCAAAGCATTATTTGACAACAGACAATTTTTATTACTTCTCAACGAATGTCACAATTTGCCAAAATATTTATTTTATAACAGAATCCTTAAAACTGTCAAAATGTTTTTTAAACTCGTGTGCTAGTTCATGGTGAGTGTCCAAGTTGTAAATCTTATTTTGATTAAATCCTCGGTTTTACACAAACTCTTGTTGACTTGCTAAATACAACTGCAAATATTTTGCTGTTTTAATGAAGAAAACTGCTGGTATTAAAGCTATTTTGTTCTGTCTTGTTTTGTAATAATGTCTTATGCTTAGTGCTGTTTATGCACATACACAATTATAAAGAAAAATATGGCTTCAATAATCGCCACTGAAGCCACACCATAACCTAATTACAATTCCACTCAATCCTGTGACCTACTTAGGTCTAGTAATGTTTTATTTTTAGTTTGACATTTGTTATAATACCATATATGGTCTGTGGTGCAATAACCAGTTTTTTTCCGCTGTCTTACTAAGAGAGTCTTAGACTCAGAAATTTTCCATCGAGAAATGATTGATTGTTTCAGACCAGATGACCACCCCAACCAATGGTCTTATGATTTGAAGGTGACCTTCCATGTTACCTAAGTCTATAAATAGATCGCCCACAGGTGTCTCGCGGCAGTCTTTGGTCAGACGTCGTTGAAGAGAGATAAGCCCTGTGTGTTGCCGTGCAGTATTAAGTTGTTATATTACTTGTGAATAAGTAATTCTTTATGCTTATAGCAGTGTTATGTATACAGTGGTGATTTTTCTGAAGTGTTAAAGCTGTGATAGTGTATCATACTATTTATTTCCACGAATTGTAAGTTGGGTTTTGATCATTCTGTATATCCATTTTATTCTTGTATAAATCTAGTGTTCTGCCACGACTTTGTACACTCATTACAAGTTATATGCAGATTAAAGGTTTTGTTGGCATCATTAGTTTCTCTAGTGTTTCCCCTAGACATTAATTACGAGTCCTAGCGAACTAGTGAGTCAATTTTCTTTTATTTAGGCTTGTCGCCATCTGTGTATAATCAGTTAAACGAATCCGGGAGCGTTCGCCATCTATCTGGCTGATAGATTGGTGTCCGTTACAATCCAAACCTCAGAACTCCTCCAAGAAGATGACCTTTGACCAGACGGTCCTATAAAAAATCTACAGTTCCCTGTTATTGATTACTTTTTGCCCAACTGTCAAGTTGTTAAAAAAAATCCGTTTCTTCCATGTATAGATTTTGTGTCGTGTGAAATTTTTTTTTCTCGCCTCTTCTGTTAACTCTGACCAGATTGTTACATATCGCTCAACAAAAACAGTAGGGCGTACCGATTTTTTGTTTTCAATTTTTTTGCCACCTTCTCTCCACGCAACCTCCCACACACCCTCCAACTCACCACCACCCCCCCCCCCTCCACGCACGTACCATCGACTAACGCGCCCACTTCACCGGTACGCCCTTTCATTATTCCATGCATGTACCCACACATCCACTCACCCCCTCATTTATACAACCACCCTAACAGGCTCACCAACCCTCCTATGTATCCACACACCCCAATACAACCCCAAAGTATTCACCAACCCACGTATACACAGTCCCACCCTCCCACCCATCTACCCTCACACGTATCTGCCAACCCTAACCCCCCCCCCCACATATCCACCAACCCACTTATCCATCAACCCACTTATCCACCCTACCACCCATCTACCCTCACACGTATCTGCCAACCCTAACCCCCCCCAAGTATCCACCAACCCACTTATCCACCCTCCCACCCATCTACCCTCACACGTATCTGCGAACCCTAAACCCCCGCCAAGTATCCACCAACCCACTTATCCATCAACCCACTTATCCACCAACCCACTTATCCATCAACCCACTTATCCACCAACCCATTTATCTATCAACCCACTTATCCATCAACCCACTTATCCACCAACCCACTTATCCACCAACCCACTTATCCACCATCCCACTTATCCACCAACCCACTTATCCACCCTCCCACCCATCTACCCTCACACATATCTGCCAACCCTAACCCCCCAAGTATCCACCAACCCACTTATCCACCAACCCACTTATCCACCAACCCACCTACCCACCCTCCCACCTACCCACCACCTGCCACCTTCCCACCTACCCACCACCTACCCACCTTCCCACCTACCCACCCACCCTCCCACCTACCCACCACCTACCCTAGACTACAAACCTCCCCAACAATCGATCAGCCATGTCAGAACACCGGCATCATTTCTACCATGACGTCACACAGATGCCGACATGTTCCAGAACGACAGTACCCTGCACTTAGTAGGTTTGATTAGACGGGGAGGGTGGGGGTGGGGTGCACCGATTGATGAAAGCGCTCATTTCTCGTACGGCATTAAGTCTTCTTATCCCCCTTATTCTTGCCCTCCTCTCCTCCCCAAAACTGGGTAGCTCCCCTTTTCCTGCTCGTGAGAGCTGCTGGGGCCAACGATTTTCTCACGGCGCGCGGGGATGGGGAGGGGAGGGGGCACAGAAAGTGAAAAAATTCTTCTAGTGAGTAGATCAGCTGTGGAGTAGCAGCGAGCATTGTCTCCCCTTACTCCTGTTGATTTCATCCAATTGACTTAATACCCGTGTGTTCGAGAGTTCACATGTGTGTTGAGTCAGGAGACAGTGTAACAACAGTTGTTTCCCATCATTGTTTCTTTGTTTCAATTATTCTTGGATATAACCTGATCATTCCTAACATGGGACATAATCGCTAAGGTAAGTAACTAATGTTTCTTTTTTTTTTTTTTTGCATTAATAACTATCCACTAAGCCTAGTTGTTAAAGGAAACATGGTTATAATTAGTTGAATTGCTATGTGGGATAAACAGCTTGATAATTAGGCGTACATGATTTAGTTTTATATTTGGAAATATTTTGTAATATTACCATCTATATCTGCTGTCTTGGTCCTGTGTAGCTCATTCTGTGCCATGAAGAAAGCAATTGTTAGATTTAAAAAAATAAATATTTAGGCCTATTTGATGAAACGTTTCCCTTAGCATTTAATTAAAACTGTGTGATAGTTTTATGTAGGCTGACAGGCTGTGATAGTTTAGTTTTATGTGGGCTGACAGGCTGTGATAGTTTTATGTGGGCTGACACTGACAGGCTGTGATAGTTTTATGTAGGCTGACAGGCTGTGATAGTTTTATGTGGGCTGACACTGACAGGCTGTGATAGTTTTATGTAGGCTGACAGGCTGTGATAGTTTTATGTGGGCTGACAGGCTGTGATAGTTTTATGTGGGCTGACAGGCTGTGATAGTTTTATGTGGGCTGACACTGACAGGCTGTGATAGTTTTATGTAGGCTGACAGGCTGTGATAGTTTTATGTGGGCTGACAGGCTGTGATAGTTTTATGTGGGCTGACAGGCTGTGATAGTTTTATGTGGGCTGACAGGCTGTGATAGTTTTATGTGGGCTGACAGGTTGTGATAGTTTTATGTAGGCTGACAGGTTGTGATAGTTTTATGTGGGCTGACACTGACAGGCTGTGATAGTTTTATGTAGGCTGACAGGCTGTGATAGTTTTATGTAGGCTGACAGGCTGTGATAGTTTTATGTGGGCTGTGATAGTTTTATGTAGACTGTGATAGTTTTATGTGGGCTGACACTGACAGGCTGTGATAGTTTTATGTAGGCTGACAGGCTGTGATAGTTTTATGTGGGCTGACAGGCTGTGATAGTTTTATGTAGGCTGACAGGCTGTGATAGTTTTATGTAGGCTGACAGGCTGTGATAGTTTTATGTAGGCTGACAGGCTGTGATAGTTTTATGTGGGCTGTGATAGTTTTATGTGGGCTGACAGGCCGTGATAGTTTTATGTAGGCTGACAGGCTGTGATAGTTTTATGTGGGCTGACACTGACAGGCTGTGATAGTTTTATGTAGGCTGACAGGCTGTGATAGTTTTATGTAGGCTGACAGGCTGTGATAGTTTTATGTGGGCTGACACTGACAGGCTGTGATAGTTTTATGTAGGCTGACAGGCTGTGATAGTTTTATGTGGGCTGACAGGCTGTGATAGTTTTATGTGGGCTGACACTGACAGGCTGTGATAGTTTTATGTGGGCTGACAGGCTGTGATAGTTTTATGTAGAAGGACAGGCTGTGATAGTTTTATGTAGGCTGACAGGCTGTGATAGTTTTATGTGGGCTGACAGGCTGTGATAGTTTTATGTGGGCTGACAGGCTGTGATAGTTTTATGTGGGCTGACACTGACAGGCTGTGATAGTTTTATGTGGGCTGACAGGCTGTGATAGTTTTATGTAGGCTGACAGGCTGTGATAGTTTTATGTGGGCTGACAGGCTGTGATAGTTTTATGTGGGCTGACACTGACAGGCTGTGATAGTTTTATGTAGAAGGACAGGCTGTGATAGTTTTATGTAGAAGGACAGGCTGTGATAGTTTTATGTAGGCTGACAGGCTGTGATAGTTTTATGTGGGCTGACAGGCTGTGATAGTTTTATGTGGGCTGACACTGACAGGCTGTGATAGTTTTATGTGGGCTGACAGGCTGTGATAGTTTTATGTAGGCTGACAGGCTGTGATAGTTTTATGTAGAAGGACAGGCTGTGATAGTTTTATGTAGGCTGACAGGCTGTGATAGTTTTATGTAGGCTGACAGGTTGTGATAGTTTTATGTAGGCTGACAGGCTGTGATAGTTTTATGTAGAAGGACAGGCTGTGATAGTTTTATGTAGACTGTGATAGTTTTATGTGGGCTGACACTGACAGGCTGTGATAGTTTTATGTAGGCTGACAGGCTGTGATAGTTTTATGTAGAAGGACAGGCTGTGATAGTTTTATGTAGGCTGACAGGCTGTGATAGTTTTATGTAGGCTGACAGGCTGTGATAGTTTTATGTGGGCTGACACTGACAGGCTGTGATAGTTTTATGTAGAAGGACAGGCGGTGATAGTTTTATGTGGGCTGACAGGCTGTGATAGTTTTATGTAGAAGGACAGGCGGTGATAGTTTTATGTGGGCTGACAGGCTGTGATAGTTTTATGTGGGCTGACAGGCTGTGATAGTTTTATGTAGGCTGACAGGTTGTGATAGTTTTATGTGGGCTGACACTGACAGGCTGTGATAGTTTTATGTGGGCTGACAGGCTGTGATAGTTTTATGTAGGCTGACAGGCTGTGATAGTTTTATGTGGGCTGACAGGCTGTGATAGTTTTATGTG